ATTCAGTTATTTTGTAACACTGTTGTTCATTTTTGTGTAGTTCTCATCCTACTAAGTTGACGATTTCTAATGATAGTTTATCTTTATACATTATATCGTAACGCATTACACAGCAAGAGCAGCATATTTACAAATGAAGTCAAAACAACTGTCAACCAACACCAAGGTCAGGATTTTCAATACAAATGTCAAAACAATTCTACTGTATGGGGCGGAAATCTGGAGAACTACGTAAGCCATCATCCAGAAGATACAAGTGATGATTAACAGTTGTCTACGTAAAATACTTCGGACTCGTTTGCAAGACATTATCAGCAACAACCTAATGTGGGAAAAAACAAACCAGATTTCAGCGGAGGAAGAAATAAAGAAGAAGCGCTGGAAGTGTATAGGGCACACATTGAAGAAAGCACCCAAGTGTGTCACAAAGAAAGTCTTAACTTGGAATTTTCAAAGCCAGTGAAGAGGAGAAAGACTGAAGAAAACATTAGGCTGAAAAAGTGCGACACATGATCCTAATAATAGTGAGGAAGATACATGTTTTTCATTTTGATTGTTTTGCAGGTGAATTAGGCCTAGATGAATCACATGTGTTAACTACACATATTAGTACACATCCATGATCCCGCACCCTGCGAGGCTCGAACCCAGGTCCTATCAGTCTCGCGTCAGGCCCTTAACCAACTAGACCAACGTTGTTATTGCCTAACATCAGCCAATCACGTTGTCGCGCCACCCTACACTGTTGTCTTCAGTGAGTTCTGGGTTAGAATCTCGCGGGGTGTGGGATCGCGGATACGCGGTGCTGAGGAGTCGCATACTAGGACGAAACGGCCGTACAGTTGAATGGCTACAGTGTTTATTCATAGCTGCAGCAATACCTTCTATGCACTGGTAGTCGAGAGATTTGTTTTCACTTCATTTTGTTTATAGAAAGTAGTAATCTTTTGAAAAATGAGAATTTCACTCATCTATTTTCTGAACGTGTGGCTAATTATCAAGTTATTATTAGAAAGCGATGTTGTTTTTTTATTCTAAATAAGATTCATATTACGCTCACTATACATAATAGATGATATAGAATAATACCATATTATTTGATTAATGAGATGGTGTGAGGTGACTGACGACAACACAGTTATAATCACTGATATTTCTGTCAATAACTGAGGTCAACAGAAATATGTTTTTATTAATTAAATGGTCAGATAATTTACACTGAGATTAAAGAAGTAATAATAAATTTTACTTTAAATGTTTGCACAGAATGTAACAGAAATGATAGAATTTGGTGTAATGTTATAGTCGATCAAGGGAATCAGACAGAATACTCAACTTTTCAAATCTTATTCCTAAATGCACATCATTCAATAGTCATTGTATCAGTAGGCCAATTAGAAAAAGTTGATGTCACTCCCCGTGTTCTTTCAGTAGCCCGTGGATCTGACTCCATTCAGAGGGTACGAATGATTGTTATCGCCTATTCTCGTATATAATCGTCGACTCAAATCGCTTTAGTCAATAACGGAATTAAATAGGTTGAATAATGAGAATTGACTTGTGAATACATATATTTTGCATATGAAGCGAATGAAACAGAGCAGAGCAAAATGACACGCGAGAAGATGGCTGGGAAGCCAACTCCCATTTTAGTCAAGCGTTACTCAATATCTATAGTCAGACAAAAATAAGCTACAGACATGTGATTAATGGGACGAGAAGGGCACACACATATACGCTCATATAAAAACAGTCTAGATTGATAAGCGAATAAATAACAAGGTCAAAGTATGGCTCAATTAGAATGAATAGAATGGGATATCCGAAAGCTAGAATAAGGTATATGGGCTTAGCATAATAACTGACACTACATTGTTCCGCCGGAGGCTACTGCCAGTTTCAAACCCGGAGAAAGGAGTAGGGTTTGGCATGGGGTTAGCGACCCTATCCCGTAGAAAACTAACTCACTAAGATAACGCTAACCAAAAAATTCTTTACAACTTCTAAACTCTCCATACGAATATTCGTCAAAATTAGAACGAATAATTTGACAGTAATTGAGCGTCGAGTATAGAGAAGTCATTATATGTGAAAATTATATTTGAAATATTCTCAGCGATTGAAATTTAACTAATTCCAACGTTTCGTCCAGCTAACTTGTCTTCTTCAGGGTAATAAGGAAAATCAAAATTATAGCTTTTTAACAATCAGAATTATACTGTGTTAAACCAATCATATTTGGATGTTGATTTTTTTGTGTAAAATAGGATAAAATGAGTCGGTTAACTACAAATCATGTGAAGAATTCAACGACATGGAAATACTTAACTGAGTAACAAATCGTATGTGTGTGTGTAAGTGTGTAGGTATGTGTGAGAGATTGATACGAAGGAATAAATAAATAAAGTTCAAGTTGAAGGATGAATAACTTGATAATGAAACATCGATGTACATGTCAAAACATAAATTGTATTAAAAGCAAAGATGGATAGTGGCTGGCAGTGGAATCCAGGACGCGCGTTTCGTCCTGTTTGGGACTCGTCAGCTGGATGTACCTGCATCTCAGAGTTGATGTTCACTCGAAGGACTCGAACTCAGTAACGTTCGCTTCAAACGCCATCGCGTTATCCACTGAGCTACTGAGTCCTGATAGCCACTTGCTTGTGCAATGGGGTGAAGTTTAATTCACTTGATATTGTTTTTACTTGAATCTTCCCATTGATGTTTTAGGACTGAAATTCATCAGTCTCTTATTGGCATATTTGCATACTATGCGTATGTCCTGGATTCCACTGCTAGCCACTATCCATCTTTGCTTATAAATTGTATTGTTTAAAAAGCTCATTGAATTCTTTCAATAATAATAATGATGATGCATGTGATAATTAAAAACAGGTTTAAACAAGAGAGAGGTTCCAAATTTACTTGTCAAACGAAAATTTGCCAGTTGAATACCATCTTTTCAGTTAAGGCTGTTCTTGTTCGCCCATATAAGCAGCCTTTCTGCTGTCAATCTTTCTTTATGGGTGTTTAAACCTTTCTGAAGTATTTTAGTCCCTTCAAAAGTATTCTTTTGTCTTGTTTCTAACGCATGTAACACTATCGCTGACATATTTTCAAGTTTCTTTAAATCAACCGAGGATTTTGGAACATTGTTTGTGTTCCTTCAATCTTACATTCGATTGCCTGGATGTTTCTCCAACATAGGTAGCATTACAGTCATGACAGTGAATCTCATACACAATGTTCTGATGTTCATGCTTTGCTACCTTGTCCTTCACTTTAACTAATGTCCATTTTAATGTGTTATTCACTCTAAAATAGACTATTATATCATATTGCTTTAGAAGCCGTTTGATTTCTTCTGATGTTTCACTATGGTGTACTTCCATTCTTTTCGTATACTTTCTAGTTTAGCTTTTCTTTCATTTTTAATAATCTTCTTTAAAAACTTTTTGGGTAGTTGTTATCCCTAAGAGTAGAAAATACTTTATTTAATTCAGTTCGTTGGTCTTCCTCGTCTGTAACAATCTTAGTACTTCTGTTCATTAGATTTTTAACCACATTAATTTTCGTGCTCTCTCTCTCTCTCTAGGAGTCATAAAGTCATCCTTTAGAGGAACTATGACGCCTCATAATGAAAGCTGAGTTCCTTTGCAATTCATGAGCACGATTTCCCTTTTAACAACCAGAGCAACCATTTATTTAGGTTCATGGGATACTAGTACAATGTGGGAGACCGTGAGAGTCCTTCAAATCGCTGCAGAAATTACGAGATACAACCTACAGGTGCTTCGGATCAGTGAAATACATTGGACGCAAGTTGGACAACAACGACTAACTTCAGGAGAGCTTCTGTTATAATCTGGCCATGATGAAGAAAATGCCCCAAACGCACAAGGTGTTGCAATGATGCTGCGCAAATAAGCACAAAATGCACTTATAGGATGGGAATTTCATGGACCAAGGATCATCAAAGCCTCCTTCAAAACAAAGAAACAGAGCACTAAATTTGCATTTTTACATCTAAATTTACGTTTATTGAAATCAATCCTGTCGGACGACTCCATCATCTTTGAATGTGGGATTGTATCTTCCGAACAGTCACGAAAAGCCCATTTGACCGGCACATTGTACAGTTGGCTCTGAATAGATTTAGCGATCAAAATAGACAAAAGGTTTCTTATTAGTCAGGGAGAAGTGGACGTGAATGTGTTTACACTAAACGTAATGAGTCAATTACTGTTGAATGATTAACAGTCTACATTTTCGTAAATGAATAATAATTTCAGCGGATGAAGCTTAAACTATTCATGATGTGGTTATAATTGCAAAATATAATTCTTGGCAGTGTGATGGTGAATTTTGCGCTCCAAAAAGATGTCGACAGTAACCAAAATATTGTTTCCACAAGTGTCACATTCTGTGATCGAATAAACGATGTTTGTTGGGTGATTTTGAGGAATCATGAACACCAGAATTGCTTTCAGTTATACATTAAATTGTCCCACTAATATTTGGCCTATTATCGAATTATTATTATTATTCATTATCATGACATGTAGTCGCAGTATTTTTGGGGTAATTATGTAGCTTATTCACTAGGGTTTGATAAAGGTTCACTTGGGTGTTTGTTCAGTTCATTGTATCCACGGAAGCAATAGTTATTGGAATAGTGAGCTCATCCCATGAAATCACTGTCAATTTCTCATAAGACAATTCTATATTAATGTAAATGGAAACATCAAGTTCTTCATATGAACATCTTGAGTAAATATTTCAAGGTTAATAAAATGTATTCAGTATTATGTAGCTTATTTATTGTTCGTTTTTATAAGGCTACTCTGCTTTGGTGTCACGGAACCTAATGTTTTTCATATGAACAGAATTTGCAAACGTTTCACAATTGAGAAACACTTTGGTCAATATCAACTGAATGATACTGATTATGAACGGTGTTCATGTTCAGTAAGAAAGAGTAAAGAGAATAATACGCTTAGTTAGATCGTCATCAGGCTTTACTTTATTATACATAAATGTTAAACCATTCAAGACAATATGAGTCAATAAACACAATGAAATAGAATAAATCACTACACATAATAAGTAAAATTACAAGTTGATAGTAGGAAGACAAGTGAACTGATAGTAGTAAGAATAATAAAATACAATAACAAAAGTTTTATCAGTAGTTAAACGTTGAAAATAGAAAGTCAAACAAACGTGGGTAAATAGAATAGGAATAGTCAACACCAAAACATTAACATCATTACGTAATAAGATGTGTGTGATAGATAACTCGAAATGATTTCGATTTATCTACGGCATGATCGCTATCAATAAGATGTGCCAATATAGAACTGCGAATCGCTTTTATTTGACCCTTTATAAACCAAGCTGGTTTGATTTTTGCATAAACATCAACGTTTGAATGGTGAGATTACGAAAACCATTATGATTTTACTTCGGACAATCTTCCTCAACACTCCGATGACAATTTGGTCAGTTTAGTATGATAGTATGATAGTTTACAGCAAATTTATGACGGTTATCGAATTAAAGACACAGCTACTCTTATTTCATTCCAGACACTCTCAGTTGTCTATTATTCGAATCATTCCATAATCCAATGTTCAGATTGGCTTCAATATTCTTTGAATAAAGTATTGTTCATTATGGATGAACTTTCATGACCCAACTTGTCTGATGTGCTAACTGACAGCACACAAAGTAGAATATGACCACATAACAGGTATCAGCAACCAAATCTCGTGGAACAAACCTCGCTGAACAATGTCAACTAGATTAAACAAATAAAACCATTTAAACTCTGAATGAGGATTGAAGGATGTTCTTTCGCAAGGATATTGACGCCTCATGGTGAAGGTGAAAAGGATAAATAGCAACTGTAAACAACTGGAAACGACTGCTGAGGACAGGGTTGGATAGAGAGTGCCAGTGAGCCGCCGTTGCTCCTCCGCAACGCATAACATGAGTAAGTAATTTAGTGTGATAGTTTACAGCAAATTTCTGTGTTGGCATAGTGACAATTGGGTACAAATGGAAAGTAATATAACGCTTACAGATGAATGTTCATGTAGGTCAGTGTAAATCAAAATATAAAAAACAACTTTTACAATATTCACAATTAATTGAGCCGATCCACTCCCATCTCAGTTTATTTACTCTCAAATCCTTAGAAATCTGAAAAAAGTAGTGAAAATATTATTAAATTTCCATTAACACAAAAACATCAATATTAAAATCAACTAACTAATGAAATAATGTGTCGTCATTCATATAATCTCATGCAAAGACAACTGATCACATTCACAATAAGCGAACTGATCTCCCCAGTTCATTCAGAACTATGCTCCATCTAGTCTACAAAGATATCCTGATTCACTTCAGTTGTCAACTTCAGTGAAGTTGAATGAACGACCTATCTGTCGTGGAGTGAAGTAATACATTGTGAGATGAATATCTACGTTCGTTGATAGAAATATGATTGTGATTAATTGCATCATTGACTCATGTGAATTTGTTGTCATGTGGTAGAATTGTGTTGATGTGCTCACTTCCACTCATTACCTTTCATTTCTCACGAGAATTCTTACTATAATGTGTCCTAATTACCTCGAAACACTCAAAACAAATTCAGTCCAACACACATGGAGTCTTTCAACTCACCTTCAGTTTCTAGTTACCCAACATTTAATGTATTTCAAATGAGTGAAGTACCAAATATTGATAACCAAAGAACTACACACTGTGCACTGGTCGCTATGTCCATCAGTGAGTTACATTCGCAGATTCTTTAGTAGAATCATTGAACAGATTATTTTCAGATGATAGACGTTTTCATATAATCATTCAGCACACTACAAAACGTTCGTGTAAAACCTTATTTGTAAACCAGCGTTTTACACAATTCCATTTATGGCTGTCAATCAAACTGAATTTTGTACTCATTAAACAATATCAATTGATTTAGTTGAATCAGGGAAAATAATTACGTCCACATTAGTGGAATGATAAACTCTTGAACTAAAGACCGAACTTTCCATTGGAACTTGTAATAACTGTAACTGATCCTAATGGAGTTCGACTCAAGAACACAGGCAAACGTAGTTGACAGATGACAGCCCACGAAAAGAGAACGTCCTGCTCTTCAACATTTCATTTCACCTTGATTTTAGTAACACACTTCACTAGACAATTTGTAAATGCCACTCATTACTTTAGCCTCTATCTGATCTATATTCAACATGAGGACAATGACCTTACAAAAATCGACATTATGCGAAAATATACTGCGAAGCAGAACTACGAAAACGGGTGCACGCAATCGCAAATGAAATGTACCAACTTAAAGATGTATCTCGTTTGATCAACGTTTTCCAATTGACCTACTGATACAATGACTATTGAATGATGTGCATTTAGGAATAAGATTTGAAAAGTTGAGTATTCTGTCTGATTCCCTTGATCGACTATAACATTACACCAAATTCTATCATTTCTGTTACATTCTGTGCAAACATTTAAAGTAAAATTTATTATTACTTCTTTAATCTCAGTGTAAATTATCTGACCATTTAATTAATAAAAACATATTTCTGTTGACCTCAGTTATTGACAGAAATATCAGTGATTATAACTGTGTTGTCGTCAGTCACCTCACACCATCTCATTAATCAAATAATATGGTATTATTCTATATCATCTATTATGTATAGTGAGCGTAATATGAATCTTATTTAGAATAAAAAAACAACATCGCTTTCTAATAATAACTTGATAATTAGCCACACGTTCAGAAAATAGATGAGTGAAATTCTCATTTTTCAAAAGATTACTACTTTCTATAAACAAAATGAAGTGAAAACAAATCTCTCGACTACCAGTGCATAGAAGGTATTGCTGCAGCTATGAATAAACACTGTAGCCATTCAACTGTACGGCCGTTTCGTCCTAGTATGCGACTCCTCAGCACCGCGTATCCGCGATCCCACACCCCGCGAGATTCTAACCCAGAACTCACTGAAGACAACAGTGTAGGGTGGCGCGACAACGTGATTGGCTGATGTTAGGCAATAACAACGTTGGTCTAGTTGGTTAAGGGCCTGACGCGAGACTGATAGGACCTGGGTTCGAGCCTCGCAGGGTGCGGGATCATGGATGTGTACTAATATGTGTAGTTAACACATGTGATTCATCTAGGCCTAATTCACCTGCAAAACAATCAAAATGAAAAACATGTATCTTCCTCACTATTATTAGGATCATGTGTCGCACTTTTTCAGCCTAATGTTTTCTTCAGTCTTTCTCCTCTTCACTGGCTTTGAAAATTCCAAGTTAAGACTTTCTTTGTGACACACTTGGGTGCTTTCTTCAATGTGTGCCCTATACACTTCCAGCGCTTCTTCTTTATTTCTTCCTCCGCTGAAATCTGGTTTGTTTTTTCCCACATTAGGTTGTTGCTGATAATGTCTTGCAAACGGGTCCGAAGTATTTTACGTAGACAACTGTTAATCATCACTTGTATCTTCTGGATGATGGCTTACGTAGTTCTCCAGATTTCTGCCCCATACAGTAGAATTGTTTTGACATTTGTATTGAAAATCCTGACCTTGGTGTTGGTTGACAGTTGTTTTGACTTCATTTGTAAATATGCTGCTCTTGCTGTGTAATGCGTTACGATATAATGTATAAAGATAAACTATCATTAGAAATCGTCAACTTAGTAGGATGAGAACTACACAAAAATGAACAACAGTGTTACAAAATAACTGAATGTGTCCAATCTCACCACATTTAAAACATTTCAAATTACGAAATACACATGAATGATATGCGTGAAACTTGTCACAGAACAAACATTTACCAAACTTGTGCTTATCTTTGTGAACTGTCTCACAACTCAATGAATTGTTATCTGAATAACCTTGATTAAGCACTGGACTGTGACGACGTGATGTTGTGGGATTCCTGATGTTCTGACGAATCATTTCAAGAAAATTTCTGCTTTTAAGGCGTTCTAAATTTGTATACTTTATATGGTCTAGTAGCAGTTGCTTCAGAGTTGCGTAACGAAGAGAAATCGGCTTGTCAGGAGATGGCAATGTCTTTATTTAGTTGTATGCTTCTTTTCTGGTGAATGAAAGGAAATGAGCCACAATATTGACATCCTCAACAATGTCCTTGGTTATAGCCCAGATTTCCAACTTTTCCATGTAATTCGCAAGAGCATCGAGATCTGAGTGTATGTTCAACCGTTATATCGGATGAGGATGAGTTTGTCCGTCACATTGATATAAAATGAATCACAGAAGGTGATGTGGATTTTATCACCGATATACACAGGAAGTATTAACTAGTCGAGTCTCAAAGAATCAGGATTATTAATGGGCGATGCACAGATTGATAAACTGAGCAAGTGAGAGATGGATGATTCTCTGAGGAAACAAACACTAAACTCATCTGAAATTATATAGTGAATATCTACAGTGTTTACACACAGCTAGAGCAAGACGTTCTATGCACTGGCAGTCGAGAGATTTGTTTTCACTTCGTTTTGTTTATAGAAAGGAGTAATCTTTTGAAAAATGAGAATTTCACTCATCTATTTTCTGAACGTGTGGCTAATTATCAAGTTATTATTAGAAAGCGATGTTGTTTTTTTATTCTAAATAAGATTCATATTACGCCCATTATACATAATAGATGATATAGAATAATACCATATTATTTGATTAATGAGATGGTGTGAGGTGACTGACGACAACACAGTTATAATCACTGATATTTCTGTCAATAACTGAGGTCAACAGAAATATGTTTTTATTAATTAGATGGTCAGATAATTTACACTGAGATTAAAGAAGTAATAATAAATTTTACTTTAAATGTTTGCACAGAATGTAACAGAAATGATAGAATTTGGTGTAATGTTATAGTCGATCAAGGGAATCAGACAGAATACTCAACTTTTCAAATCTTATTCCTAAATGCACATCATTCAATAGTCATTGTATCAGTAGGCCAATTAGAAAAAGTTGATGTCACTCCCCGTGTTCTTTCAGTAGCCCGTGGATCTGACTCCATTCAGAGGGTACGAATGATTGTTATCGCCTATTCTCGTATATAATCGTCGACTCAAATCGCTTTAGTCAATAACGGAATTAAATAGGTTGAATAATGAGAATTGACTTGTGAATACATATATTTTGCATATGAAGCGAATGAAACAGAGCAGAGCAAAATGACACGCGAGAAGATGGCTGGGAAGCCAACTCCCATTTTAGTCAAGCGTTACTCAATATCTATAGTCAGACAAAAATAAGCTACAGACATGTGATTAATGGGACGAGAAGGGCACACACATATACGCTCATATAAAAACAGTCTAGATTGATAAGCGAATAAATAACAAGGTCAAAGTATGGCTCAATTAGAATGAATAGAATGGGATATCCGAAAGCTAGAATAAGGTATATGGGCTTAGCATAATAACTGACACTACATTGTTCCGCCGGAGGCTACTGCCAGTTTCAAACCCGGAGAAAGGAGTAGGGTTTGGCATGGGGTTAGCGACCCTATCCCGTAGAAAACTAACTCACTAAGATAACGCTAACCAAAAAATTCTTTACAACTTCTAAACTCTCCATACGAATATTCGTCAAAATTAGAACGAATAATTTGACAGTAATTGAGCGTCGAGTATAGAGAAGTCATTATATGTGAAAATTATATTTGAAATATTCTCAGCGATTGAAATTTAACTAATTCCAACGTTTCGTCCAGCTAACTTGTCTTCTTCAGGGTAATAAGGAAAATCAAAATTATAGCTTTTTAACAATCAGAATTATACTGTGTTAAACCAATCATATTTGGATGTTGATTTTTTTGTGTAAAATAGGATAAAATGAGTCGGTTAACTACAAATCATGTGAAGAATTCAACGACATGGAAATACTTAACTGAGTAACAAATCGTATGTGTGTGTGTAAGTGTGTAGGTATGTGTGAGAGATTGATACGAAGGAATAAATAAATAAAGTTCAAGTTGAAGGATGAATAACTTGATAATGAAACATCGATGTACATGTCAAAACATAAATTGTATTAAAAGCAAAGATGGATAGTGGCTGGCAGTGGAATCCAGGACGCGCGTTTCGTCCTGTTTGGGACTCGTCAGCTGGA